TTCATTATACAGCCAATCCTGGTGTTGTCTGATTGGCTTGGATCGTTGGGCATTTTGTTGTGTGTGATGCCATACGGAGACCCTGAAGGGAACCCAGTTTTTATGTGGGCAGCATGGCAAGGTGGCAGAGAGAATGTAATCTAGAGGATGTGGCTTCAGAATTGTAATATGAATGGATGAATGTACAGTGGTAAACATCATTGAACATTAGCATCTTCAAAGGAGGTTAAATGTTCCCTAGATGTATTCATTCCTGCCCTTTGAAAAGTATGTATCCAGAGCCATGGAAATGCCTTTCCTCTTTAACGTAGCCTTCATTCATCTAAAGGCAAAGCAAGAGAACTGGAGCATGCAAGATGCTCATAGAAGCATGGTTCATAACAGTTTTTAAAAAATGGAAACAACTGACCAAATTATAGCCTGTTGATTTAACAGAATGATATGATTTCATTTAACAAAATAATGTTGCAACTTGAAGAAATGTTGTTTTGATATAATGCTACCTTGTAAAAGAAAAATCCAGGACACTGATGCTAATTCTGGAGCTCTCCACATTCAGTTTCAAGCACACAGAAAAAAAAATCATTGCTCCTATCATGAGCTAGAGCCAGGAGGATGGCATAGCAGGTTGGGGCACCTGCCACCACGCCTGATGACCTGAGTGTGGCTGCGTGGTAGAAGGATTAGAAAAGGACTATAGAAAGTTGTCCCCTTCCACACAAGCACTGTGTCATGCCCATACCTGCTCCATCTCCAACACATACACACACACACACACACACACACACACACACACACACACACACACACACACACAAAGCCATGAGCCTACACTCCAAAAGAGTAAATACATGTGTGGCACCGTAAATCTGGCCAAGAACCCACGGTTAGGGAACTCACAGGCCCCAGGAGTGAACCTATGACTATTGTTCTGCTAAGTGGACAGAGTATTAACTGCCCTCAAATTTATCTTTATTAGCGTAGCTCTCTGACCTCATCAGAGGAGTTTCGTTGTTCAGTGAATGATGGCTGGTTCAGAGGCTCAGAACTGGTCATCATGAAGAACCAAGAGTCAGAAGCCACCACAGAACAGGGGGATGGGAAGAATATGAGAGACAGAGGTTGGGGAGGTCTAGAGGGGAGCTATCCTCTGCACATGACAGGGCCACCTTGGTCATGACCGTGGTCACCTACAGGATGTCAAGTCAATCAACATCAGTGTGGAGTGGGAAGAGCTCACAAACCCACTCCCAGCCTTACCCCAGCTGAGGACATTTGATGGCTTCTCGGACAGTTGATGGTCAACCATGTTCCTGTGCATGATCTATGGGCAGCCCAGATTAGAGTCAAAGGAGAGGACATGAAGTTGGGTAGGGTGATGGGGTTAGAAGGAGTTAGGGGAAGAAGATCAGACTATGATCAAAGTTCCTTGTATGAAATTCTCAGAGAGTTAAGAATAAGTATTACTTTAAAAAATCTTGGACGATAGCCTCCTTGTGGACTTTCTTCTCCCTCTAAACCCTTCCTCTTCCTTCCTCAGACTCAATGAATGCAGTCTCACTCTCATAAATACAGATTTACAACACGTGCAGTTGCCCACCCAGGTTAGAGCCGTGTGTGGCCCAGACCCTTTTTGGTCTCTCGGAGGAAGAGTTAGAAAAGGCATTTGCACTTACTCCTCTGGTTTGAAGCTTTTTAAAGTTCCGTGGCTTCAGACAATCAGATTGAGAAGGCTAACCAAACCTTTCACAACACGTTCCTGTAAACACCAATGGGGCATATCTGGAATGGCAGATATGGGCACAATGCTTTTGTTGAGAGCTGAGAGCCATTGTGAGGCAACTGAGCCCTGCACAGCTAATCCCAGCTTTGAATGTATGCAACTTCACAAGGCAGCACCAATCATCTGCCAGACACTGTCATGGGTACCAATCACGTCCCAGCCTCAACTCACAAAGCTCACAGAATAGTTCATTCCTGCCAAATACTTTGAGAAAGCACTGGCAAACAAAGAGGGCACAGCTGACCCAGAGAGGGTGTGGCTTCCCTGGGAGGGCGTGGCCTTCTAGACAGCTTCAAAGTAAAGAGGTGGGAAATGAAGAATTAGGCCCTTTTGAGATTCTCTTTGTATGTATTTTATGTGTGTACATGCATCTGTTTCTGTGCATGCATGTGTGTGTATGTGCATATGCATGTGTGTGAGCATGTGCATGCCTGTATTTATGCATATGTGCATGTGTACATGCATATGTGTGTGTGTGTGCATGCCTGTGTGCATGTGTGTGTACCTTGGGTGTTGCTTCAGGATCTCTCACTGAGACCTGGGACTCGCGGATTAGGCTAAGTTATCTGGCCAGTGAGTTTTAGTGATCCTTTCAACTAGAACTACAGGTGTGCATCACCATGTCTGGTTTTTATTTTTAATTTTTTTATTTTTAAACAAAATTCTTTATTGATTCTTCGGGAATTTCCAGTCCCTCCACATCTACCCCTCACCCCTGTAGCATGCCCCCCAAAATAATCCCCCCAAATTAATTAAAAACAAACAAACAAAAAAACCTCACTCCTCTATCTTCCCAACACTTCTTCATTCACCCTAGTGGCATCGGGAGCTGTGTTGTCACACAGTAGACCCTTTTGTCCAATCAGCCCCACCCACAAAATGCTCATTGCAATGAGTCTGGTTCAAGGCCTCCGGTACACCATCACCACTGGACGCTCATAGAAACTCCTCCCACACACCGCACTGCTGCCCGAGTCATGGAGATTCTGTGGACCAGATTCTATAGGACCAGTCCCTTCACACCCTCCAGCATAGATGACCCAGGATGTAGGTCTGGGTGAGAGCTGAACTGGTCCAGGACACTGGGACCGCCTGCCTCAGGTAAGGGGCAGAGCCAGCTCTCGTCCATGCCATGGGGGGTGATGAAACTCTCCTGAGTGTGGGGTGGGGGAAGTTAGGGGAGCAGCTCTCCCATGCGGGGCAGGACAGGACCAGCTCTCGTGCTGCAGTTTCCCGTGAGGAGTGGGCTGGCTCAGCAAGGCTCTTGGACCTCAACACACATAGTTGTTATGACCCCTGTGGTAACACAGGCCATGGACATGAACTGGGACCACAGCTGCAGCAGGAACACAGACCCAGACATGGCCCTTGGCAGCAGCTTGGGGCAGGAGGCTGAAAGACCCTCAGACATCAACATGGTTTCAGGTAGCTGTCCAGACTGACATCCACACAGCCCCTGGTGACAACAGAAGTCACTGCTGTGTCTGGCTTTTTAAGTGGGTTCTGGGGACTGAACTCAGGTCCTCAAGCTTTCGTGACAAATATTTTATAAACTGAGCAATCTCTCCAGATGCCAATATTCTTGTTTCTAATCCATACTCTCTTGAACACCATGGAACTGGAGTAAACAAGATTTCTTAGCAGAGCCAACAGTAACTCTCTCACCAGAAATGACAAGCTTGGACAGACCGCAGACACACACCACCAATCTCCCATGGCTGCCCACCAGGACAAATGCCAATGTTGCCTTTTTTATTGTTTCTCTCTTAGCAACAAGAAAGAAACTTAGTAGTTTCTTTCTGCCATCTAGCATGGCTTGAGTTCGGCTCCTTGCATAGTAGTGGTAAAAAAAAAAAATAGCTTAGGCAGAAAGGAAGACACATTTTGTGATTTTTTTTTTTCTCTTTTTTCTTTTTGAGAATGGAAAAGGGCAAGCTGAGTCACCCTTGAGGAACCTGGAATGGTTAGCATCCTATTTTTATATAAAATACCCATCTCCTCAAATTCTCCTGAATCCTGCTCTAGCCTAACACAGCAAGATAGAGAAACTACACATTACATTGACAGCCTTGTCACAGACAAGCTCCATATCACCATGTACTCTCCACCCCTCACAGAGACATCCTCAGTCTACTCACAATCACAACTCACAACTCACAATCATGAGTTCTCTTGTGTCACATAATATCGGACTTGAAAGGAAAAGCTAGCCTTGGCCTATCCCAAAGGCAGCCCCTCCGATACAAAAACACTGGCCTTGAAATCCTCTCAATAAAGTTTCAGGAAAACAAGACCAGATTCTGGAATATGCAGGACTTCAGTTACCTGTGTGGCACGTGTGTCTGAGTTTCCTTCTCAGACAGGGGGGAGGAGCCTGGGAGGTTTAGGAGGGCCAAGACAGGCACAGATTTCTGATGCCAATCAGAGAAGCAAGCAGACATGGCATGAGGTCAGCACAGCAGTGTGTGCAGAGGGGCGGCCAGCTAAGTGAAGGTGGGCACACAGGCAGTGACCAACAGGAGAAGGGAATCTGTAGGAATTTGCACCGGCTCTTTCTGCCTGAGGCAGGAGCCCAGGGAAGCCCCTGAAAAGGTCAAACTGTTTAAAAACCCATCGGCATGTCTCATGGGGACTTGCCATGCCATTTTCCAACAGTTGCAGCACTGATCTAAGTTTCTGTCCAGGTGCTGGACTGGATCCCGATGTCTCAGGATGAGAACTTGCTGAAGTAGCTAGCTCATGAGTCATGTTATATGTAAAGCACTTACTAAAGTCCCACATGGCAAGAGGCCCACATAGTGAAACAACTAAGAACTGAGGCATCTGAGCAGTGAGTGTGGCCAGGGACCGTCCTTTACTGGAACAAGACGGACAGACAGACATGATTGCTGGTTCTAGCCCAATGACCCAGGGGCTCATTCTTACTCCCTTCTTGCCTTTCTACTTCCTCCTTTCCCCTTCTTTCCCTGACCACATGCAGTTAAGCTGTCTTTAAGTAGCAATGTAATTGTTTTTCACGATCAAGTGAAATTATGAATTTCCATTCTTAAAATTATTAGGACGCTAGAACCTAGGGCTATTGAGATGGCTTATTGGGTAGACATTTGACACCAAGCATGATGGATTAAGTTCAATCCCCAGAACTCACTGCAGCAATATGCAAACACACACACAGAGGGTGGGGGAAGTTAAGGGGCAGAAAGTTTGAGTAACTTACCAAGGACCATCCAAGGTGGCTTTCCTCTTCAGCTCAGGCTCTTGCTAGCTACTCTACCTGTGGTCGACCACAAGGACAGTGAGAAAACTCGTTTTTAGAATAATGAAGCAAGATAATCTATAACTGCATACTACAGGGGGGAAAATGACAACAAACTGTCCCCTTGCCCCAAGAATACATGTGCGTTACTACCCAGACCCTTTCTCTGCTGCAGCAAGTACTTGGAATGCCACACCCCTAAATTAGCAAAGTTGATCATTAGCTCCAGTCAGCAAAGACCTTTGAGTGACTGCGCCTCCTAATGACAACACCTGCTATTAGTTAACTAATCGAACCGCTAGTTAGTGATGGGAAGGACAGCACAGAGCTAACTGCTAATTGGCTAATGAGCCGGTGTCCCCAGGAAGAACACCTTCAACCAGCAGGCACCATGACTTCAGCCTGCAGCCTTGGGAGCATCACTTGATGTCTAAGGAGCAGCACCCTTGGGTGATATGACTATTTTGAGCCAGGAAGTTCCACGGTAGGAAGCAATCAGAGAAGGATGACTCTGACCTAGAACTGGGAAGGGATAAGCCAACCCTGAAGCCCCCCCCCAGTCCCACTGTCACTCCAGCCTCTTTAGGACATGAGGTGGCTGTGTGTTTGAGACATTTTGCATCTCCTAAGCCAAAGGACACAAATTCTTGAGGCAAGACAACTAACGGAACACAAGCTAGAATCAAACCGGTTGGAAGCCTCGGCTCTACCACTGACCATTGGATCTCCCGACTGTGTGTCCTCATTTACACAATTAGAGCACGAGTGGCTTCTACCTTCTAAGACTGATGCGAATGCTAAGTGAAAATCACCACCCAGCACCCCACAAACGAAAGAGATTCTTCGGACTGAGACTGAAATAGTGCCGGGGACATAGACGACATTAGCATGAGTGCTGTACTTTTCAAAGCAATCGCTCCAGGACCGTCTCCAAACAGCATTTCTTCTCTAAAGGTTCCTTTGTTCTGTACATGCTCAGATCTTCTCTGGAATTGCCTTTAGCATCACTGTCCTTGCTGGTCCCTTTCCTGAGTGATCATTTGTATTGAGACAGGCATTTTTTTTTTTTTTTTTTTGGTCACACACGAAGAATGAAGTCCCCCAGGCTAGCATCCATTCCTGTCCCCAGCTCTATTGCTTGCCACTTACTGTTTCTCCATCTTCTGCATTCAGAGCCCCATTGTTCCTTGGCCCGGCAGCACCACTCTGTTCCCAGGGCTCCTCGAGGCCCCCTGCTCCTGGGGGAATCTCAGAGCCTGGTTTCCATGGTCCACACAGAAGTAATCCCATATATCTGCCAAGCCTCAGTCTACACATCAACACTTCCTGACTCTTCTGTGCTGCTGAGCTGTTTGCTGGTTAAGAACACAGATGTGGGGGGCCAGACTGCACAGGCAAGGGCTGAAGGGTTCAGAGAAGCCTGCTCAGAGGCCTCCCTGCCTCACTCCAGATTCTCCTCTGCCATGTGTCACTAACTTAGTGACATCAGGGCAGCTACCTCGCATTCCTAAGTCTCAGGTCCCTCCTCAGTAAGCGTTACTCCAAGGTTTATTTTTCAGATTAGAGAGAGCGCTAGGAGAGTTCCCAATAAATGTTTGTCTAATAAAGTCCAAGGCCCTGGTGTCTTGGCAGGGTGAGCAGGAAAGATTATTCAACCCTTTTGCCTCTCAGTTTCTTTACTTAACAACAAGAGTAAGAAAACATCACCTACTTCTCCTATTGTTGGAATTAAATAAGATAATGTATGTGATTTGCTTAGGGTATGATATATACAGAACTTTATACATTATAGAATTTCAACAAAATGGCATGCTTAGTCATATATGGAGCCACATAACTCTAATCCTAGCACTTGGAAGATAGAAGCAGAAGGGATCAAGAGACCAAGGCCAGCCTGAGCTACACAGCAAACTCAAAGCCAGCCTGAGCTAAATGTGACTCTGTCTCCAAAAAAATATAATGCAAGAAAAACAAAAACAAAATGGCATATTAAAAATTAAGAACAAGGGAAAAACCTCTTCTTAGCTCTATTACAACACATGCCAAACAATGATAGCCTAAACGGGGAATTTCCCGGAGAGACGCTGTGCATTATTTCCTCTACTTTGATAGTAAAGCAAATTCAGCTGATAAGCAGCATGTGAAATAGGACCTGGAACTTAAGCAAAAGCCACAGCTCATAAAACCATGATTCATAACACAGACAACTATGCAAACCATGGCATGCAAGACAAACTCGGTTCAGACATATAACACACGCTCACTCAGACCCTCTGGCTCTCAACACGACAGCAATAAAATCCAACCACAGCTCTGCACAGGTACACATGCTAAAGATGAGACTTCTGGTTGTTAGTGTGCAGAATCTGACTGGCCTGTAGTACTAGACACTACCCATGTTCTTTCCAACTCCACAGCATCCCAGGACATAGTCCTTTCCTGCTACAGCACCATAATGAACCCAGCTTTGTCTATGACGTTGTGTTCCCCCATAGTCTTTCTTGGTAGGACTTAGTATGTTGTAAATGCCAAGTATTTGAACCAGTGCCAGGTATTAGGTCGCTGTGCAGTAAATCATACCCTGAATTAAGATTAGAGTAATAATTTCATATAACGTGAAAATTCTAAAAAGAGCCATTGTAGTGGCATCTTGTCTTGTCAGTGAACTTGAAGAATGGGCCACACCCTTTGGGCATGGTTTTAGGTGTGGATGTGATCCCTTTAAAGTAGAGTTGCTACAGGCACATGCTCTCTTGGGTGGTGAAGAGCATTGGAAGGGCAGAGACTGCATCTTCTGGAGCAGGAAGGCTGCGGTAGTTCTTATTATCATCTGTGTACGTGCTTCTCTAATAAATTCCTATTTATCTTTATCTTGGGTCTGGTGAACGCATTTAAATCCCGCCTTTAAACCATAGTATTTTGAAATATCAGAGGCCTCATCAGCAACCAAGGAAGGACTATGTCCATGGTTTTCCAAGCCATACACCTTACGGAGCTATATGGAGTGGAAATATAGAATAAAGAATGTGATTAGAAATCTGATTATCCCTGTACATTGATAGCTAATAAGTACAATGCCTGCCATCCAGGAAGTCACAGGCTAATCAAGGACACAGTGTAAAACCAGCAGGGTGGCTGTTTGTCCTTCCTACAGCACCTTGCACTGGGTCTTGCCCATAGCATTTGCAAACAGAAACTTCTGGTGGTTTCAGACAGAGGATTTATTCTGTCAACTGCGACTGTAAACTGGATGAGAGTTTCTATCAAGAGGCCTGATACATGAGATGGTCCAGGAAGCCTATAGGTAGCAGAAGCAAGGGACACAGTGAGCACACAGGTAGGCTAGAAGCTCTGTCTACTGAGCTAACCATGAGAAAGGGAATGGATGTCCTCTGAAGAACTAAGAAGTACAAGAATGGTGGCCAACTGACTTTGAGGGAATGTGAAAGACAACAGAACTCAGGCTGGGCTGCGATTGCCACCTACTGACAAAGGAGCTGTCTTGAAATCAAGCAAATGGCACTGAAAAGGTCGCAGACCTTCTCTATATTGGAGCCAATGCCAGAAGTCTTGGGCCACAGGCAGCTAGCATGGTGTAGCATCAGTCACCACCACCACCCAACTCCCCTACCCCCGTCTACTTTGGTATCTCACACAGGTCAAATCAAGACAACAGCAAAGGTCCATTTGCTTAGAGTAAGTAACTGTAAGCCACTGATTGGGTCTAGCTACTTGGGAAACAACAGCAATGCTTCTGTAAAGCATGCTAGACAGATTTATTTTTAGCTTTGTTTAAAACTTCAATTAAGTTTGTGTAAGCAATGAGAGTCAAGGACCCTTGACCTCTTCCTGGGCTGGTTGTCCATTTTTTTTTTTTTAAACCTTTTTACTCAATATTTTCCTGTAGGCGACATGGCTGGAGACAAAGAAAAAGCCAGGCACCCTTTCTGGGCTAAGGAACAACAAAAGCAAAGCTTGGCCCTTGTAAGAGTCTACAGGAATGTACAACGTAAATACTAATATTTTAACGAGCATCGTTTTTCTTTGCAGGGACTTTAAATAAAGGTAGATTTGCCTAATAAGAATCTATCACTAATATGGGAAGGAAACCTGAGGCTATTTAGAACAAACATTGCCACAGTAAATGGAGGCTGGCACAGAGATGCATCCACACCTTAGGAGAGCAGCTGGTGCTATGGTTTCTCAGAGGTCACCTACCAGGAAAAGAAGAATCCAATATGAATTTCTTTTCCTGGGGCTGTGTTGCCCTGTGTCACTATCTGAACGTGCAGCTAAAGAAGACACCTCCAGGTCCCTCTCCTAAAATGCCACTCTGACCCTTTCTGCTTCTCCCAGGCTCACACCAGGCCTGCAGTGACCCTGACACAAAGTTCTCTGAGAGTCTTTTAAGGTCACACGGTATCTGTTTTCAAATAACCTGCAACTAGGGTAAGAGAGCACACAAAGACCCAAAATGGGTCTTTCCGTGGCTGAAGCATTTTGAACCTATTTTCATTAAATATTTCATGCACAAATAACCAATGAACAACTGAAATGATCATTTGGTAATTACATTTAGCGCTAACAGAAACAACCCATTAGGGCAATGGTAGCACACAGGCCGAGATTTGAACTCTGAAAATGCCCGTTGGGGCAACTGCTGGGCCCCCTGCTTCAGAGGCCTTACAGGCTTCTTCGGTCTCAATGTTGCTAATGGATGACATCTTTCTCAATATTCCAAGAGGCTAAGCAACTCAAAGACATAGGGCTTTCCATGAACTATGACCTCAACAGGTTAGGGGAGGAGGGCTTCTTTAAGAAGTGGATTTCCTTATTAGTTTACAATAACTAATTTACATTCCCTCCGAATCTAAATTTATAATCACCTGGACCAGTGGAAATGTTGAGTTACAGTGGGACAGTTAGCTGGCATCTGGGGGGAAGCAAGTGTTCTGTTTCAACGGGCCAGTTAGCTGGCCTCCAGCACACTTGCTCGGGGCACCTCCCCTGACTGGCAC